TTTAATTAATTTATTTAATTAAAATTATATTTAGATGAATTTTTAAAATGCATTATTTAATATTTATAGATATTAATTTTGTATATTTTTCTTAATAATTAATAAAGTAAACATGTAAAAATCTCATTAAAATACGTAACGCCTACGCGATAAACACTTAAAATGAAGGAAAAGATTTTTCATTTAAACCCGCTAAGTTATTACATATTTTTAATGTTTTCTTTGACTTTTTTCTTTTCTTTTTTTTTGAATTTTTCTGAATTTGTTTCCTGCTGTGACACAATCGATAACGTTGATGAAATTAGCATTAGCTTTATATAACAGGATTTGTCTTATACTTAAATATTTATTGTTCGTATACTAAAGAACATATTTCCAATTATTATTATTATGTTCTTTCATATAATTTAATTTTATTTAATCATATATTTCTATATTATGTGTACGTTTAGATAATTTAATTAATTTTGTTATCAACGTTGTAATAAATATCAGCTTTTACATATCTAAAAACACGTTTACCTCGTGTTTTTCGATCTTATACAGGTGCTTTATAAACAAATTATAAAATCAATTGATTTTTTTTTTTGATAAAATTTAGGTATAGAGTAAGTAAAACAGTCATAGTAAATGATTTTACGCTTAAACTTCATTTAAAATACTGCAGTCGATCATATAAATTTAATGTTAAAGTATCTAAAATAAGTGAGAACGTGTCTAAACGAAACCCGAATAAAACTGAAACCATATATTTAGGTGCTACATCATGTTAAACAGTAAAATTATATGAGTAACTATAATCTTTTATGATAAAATTTACATGTAAGTAAATACAGTAAATATTTCTATGAAATTTGAAATAATTGCAGTAAATATACTGAAATTTTATATACTCAAGAATTTGCTGTATAAATATAATCGCACTTACGTAAAAGCTATGTAAATATATAAATATATTCCGTCTTATAAACCTATTTTTAAAATGATTTCGTAATTATTAATTAATACAAAATATATATTTTAATATTTTTAAATATTATATTAACATCATTTGCATGCTATAACGTGTCACACAATCGTGTTTTATTACTATAGTTGCATACTACATCCTGTATGTGACTTTGGCCTAAATATTATAATTATAAAATTTTCAGATATTAGTAAAAGTAATTAGAATAAAAAACAAATAAATTATTTGATAAAATTTTTAATATAAACCAGAAATTTTGGCCTTTGAAATAATAAAATCAATATCTATAAAGTGAAAAAGAAAGCAGTAAGGTAAATAAATTATTATTAATTTAAATAAAAAACTAATAAATTTTAAATATTTTTTCCATGAATTTATTTTAAAAAATAATGTAAATTTTATTTTTATATTTTTACTTAATTTACTAAGGATTTCTATCGTATCAGCTGGACAAAATATCCATCAAATAATGGCATTTTTCGATGCGTAACGATAAAATAAGCATTTTTAGTCTTTTTTTATATGAAAAATATTTTAAAAGAATATTTTATATAATAACAAGACATTTTTTTGTGTTTTTATTTCTCTAATGATGTAAATTATTAAATATAATAAGAATAGGCCTATATATTTCGATATATTATATATGTATACGGATAGCAATTCAAACAATAGGAAAATAATAACGAAAAATGTTATTAATGCCATTAATCTAGTCATCATTCATTTTCCATTAATCCAAAAGAGAGAGAGAGCATCAAATAACATCAAGATGACGTATCTCTTAAGAGAGAAAGAAGAGCAATCAATTTAGTATCGATTGAATTTGCAAGAGTGAAAACTTTATCTTAACTTTTCTAACTAACAAATTGTAAATAATTAAACGTGAAGTGTAATCTGACATTTTAAAAACAACCTTTCTTACCGCATAAATTAATATTATGCGTATAAAGTTAATATAGCGTTTCTAATAAAGCGCGTTAATCAATACCAAAAATAACTTCCTTCTTAAAAATGGATTAATGAGTTGTTCTTTTTTAAAAAGGAATCTTCCTCGAGAAAAGAACTGCGCGGAATTCTTTGAAGGATAACAACGCTCCAATTCCTTAAAAAAACAAGAGCAACGCGCAAACTCTGTCAAGAACAGAACAACACATCATTCTTTGGAAATAGCACGTCATTCTTTAAGGAACAAGACAACGCGCAAACTCTGTCAAGAACAGAACAACACATCATTGTTTGGAAACAGAACGTCATTCTTTAAAGAACAAGACAACGCGCAAACTCTGTCAAGAACAGAACAACACATCATTCTTTGGAAACAGGACGTCATTCTTTAAAGAACAAGACAACGCGCAAACTCTGTCAAG